CCCACATACAGGTACCCGGCGTGATGACATCTCAGGCCAACCTTGTCACATACATCCTGTACAAATACAGGTGCACGTGACAGGGTTGGTGCCATAATGTACTTATGTGGATCAGTCACACATGTGTAGAGAGCAGCTACTGTGTAGAGAGCATCTACTGTGTAGACAGCAGTTGCTGTGTTGAAAGCAGCTACTTGGTTAAAAGCAGCTACTGTGTTGAAAGCAGCAGGATTGGAGGTAAAATGACACTTTGTGAATTATAATTACTGGGTAAATGTAAAATTATGTACTGTAAAATCACCAACTACTGAAAAAATTACCTGTACCATAGAAACTTAATCTGGATGATGATTTTCATATCCAGCTGTGGTTCATGTGAATAATGCCCCCTTGTGATAGTAACAGGTATGTAAAAAACAACAACACAGAAAATGGTAAAGCATAGGAAACTTTAATGAGCTGTATTGACTGAACTATGCCATGTATCATCTTTTGTATAATTGAAGCTATTTTTATGTATTATTTTCATTAGCAAACCATCCCATGACAATGGATCATGTAGAAAAGAACGTTAAGAAAATATAGTAAGGATTTTTACAGTATGGTTCTACCTCAATAATTACAGCAGGAATTGAGAAACCACAATGTGTTATTTATTGTGAAGTTCTACGAGCCAAATCTATGAAGCCGGACAAACTAAAATGCCATTTTGATAGCAAGCATCCGAGCTTTGGCAGCAAGGATACCAACTATTTTAGAAAAAGCTGATGGACTCAAGAAAGCCAGAGTTGACACTGGTGGCGAGTACCACAAACAACACATAGCAGTCATTGAAGCTTCATAGTTGGTGGCACGCACAATCACCAGAGCTATGACACCTCACACCATTGCTGAGGATTTACTGTTGCCAGTGGCCAAAGACATTGTTCAAGTTAAGAATGGAGATGAATTTGTTATGAAACTGAGCGCAATTTCTTTATCTAACGACACTATCCACAGAAAAATAGATGGCATGTCTGCTGATATTCTTGATCAGGTAATCCAGGAAATTAAATCTGCTCCACTTCCAATATTTAGCATCCCTCTTGTTGAATCTACAGATATTGCAAACTTTTCGCAGTTACTGGTTTACATGAGGTACATTGATGTTGGCAACTTTAAAGATGAGTTTCTCTTTTGCAAACTTCTTGAAACAACAACTACTGCACGTGATGTACTTGACACTGTTGGTTCATTTCTTAAAGAGCATAAGGTCTCCTGGGAAAAAGGCTTGTGGTGTTTGCACAGATGGTGCTCCAGCTATACTAGGATGTCGATCTAGATTTCAATGTTTGGTACTGAATGAGTCACCAAAAGTCATCAGAACTCACTGTATGATTCATCGGCAAATATTAGCAATGAAGATGCTGCCACAAGAGTTACAAGAAGTACCATATATACTTGTGTACAAGCCGAGTTTTTCAGCACATTTTTAATGCAGTTTTTGTGGTAAAATTAGGTGCCTTGGCTGATATTCAGGTCGGCTTAAGCTCGAGTATATACGGTAATGAAAAGTGTCATAAGTTCTGTCAATTTTGTAAAAGCAAGCACTTTAAACAGTCAACTGTTTTTGCAACTGGGCAATGAGCTGGATGCACCAAATAATGCTCTGCTATTTCACAATGAAGTGAGATGGTTGTCAAGAGGAACAGTTTTAAAATGTGTTTTTGAGCTTTGCAATGAACTCAAACGTTTTTTAATCAGAAAGCAAGACTGCAGTTCAAAGCACTTTTCAGCGATAAAAGTGAAATGCAGAAAATAGCTTACTTGGTTGACATATTTGCCATCTTGAATGAGTAAAATTTATCACTGCAAGGACCAAATGCAACATGCCTCGATATGTCTGAAAAGATCTGATCATTCCAAATAAAACTTCAGCTTTGGCCAAAAAAATGGATGAAAATAGAATTTGCATGTTGACTACCTTATCTGCTTTCTTTGAGGAACATGACACTGAACCAGACAAAAGGATTACGATGATGATTCTGTGAAAGAACACTTGCACATGCTTGCAGACAAAATTTCATCGTACTTTTCAAATCTACCTGACACCCCATTTGCACTTGCCAGAAGCCCGTTCACAGTCGAAGTTGAAGATGTTCCTGAGACAGCACAAGAGGAGCTCATTGAACTTATTAACAGCGATGCAGCGAGAACTGATTGCTCTACAATGCCAATTACAAAATTCTGGATCAAGTGTTTGCACTCATATCCTGTTCTGTCTTCTTTCATTTCCAACAACACATCTTTGTGAAACAGGGTTTTCCAGCTTGTTGGTTATCAAGTCTAAATGCAGAAGTGGACTTGTGGAAGATGATCTTCGTTGTGTTCTTGCAAAGACTGTTTCGTTTGCTCTTGCAAATTTCTGATCTGATGAGAAAGAAGCTATCTCAACCTTCGCACTGACGTTGGCAAAATGCAGCAATGTAGTTTATTGTTGTTATATTAAGACTGTTACCCATGCTACACCATGTTTCAAGACTACATGAGCTGTATTGAAGGGTGGCGGCCTGAGGAAGGTGGGGAGACCCTGCTCTAGGCCATGATCTCTGTCTTTGTCGTCGCCGCCCAGTCAGATCTGACTCAGAGTGCCACCCTCACAACCATTCAGAGGCTGGAGCCCGCCTCCCTCTGTTTCACGGCCCCTGCAGTTTACCAGCAGAGCACGTCCTTTGTGGGAGCCCGTCCCCAGGTTTTGCTACCCTTTCAAAGTGCCAACCTTTTAGTGAGCAGTCACCTGCTTGACCTTTGCACCCCGCGGCTCATTCGACCCAGAAATCAAGGCCTTTCTCTGGGACTCTGGTTCAGTGAGAAATTCCCGTACTCCTCTGGTATCCCAGAGGACCTAGGAGGGTCATGGTTGTTGGAGGAGCGGGCAGCATTTCGTTCTGTCAGCCAGCATCAACTCGGAGGGCACCTGGCAGCAGACAGCAAATGCCCTTTCTCACCGACTCCCCGAACGCACTCAGAAACAGTGGCTGTGCCCCCCATCCCTTACAGCCTATGTTTCTCTCTCCTGCCTGCTGCCAGGCCTCCGTCCAGCGCATCCCAGGACCTAGCAAAGCCTCTCCCAGCCAAGGTCCCAAGACCAGGAGAGGAGGGGCGGGCCGGTGAACACAAACCCTGTCCTCTCGCATTTTATTACAGTTGGCAGGGATTATAAATCGAGGGCTCGTTCTGACTCCTACTCTGACTCCTACGTGGTTTTCTTTGGTTGCTTTTTCCCAAGAGGTTTTCGCCCTGCACCTTTTGGAAAGGAGTCACTTGTAAAATCCACAAAGGCACGGGACCAAAAGTTCTTGGGAACTCACCTTTGAGGGGATTCCACAAACACTAGGGGAGGGGGGAAAAATGAGCTGATCCCAAGGGCTCAATGGAAAGTAAATGTCTAGAAAAGAACGATGGCAATATTTCTACAAATATGTCGGATGCAATTGATATATGGATTGTAACAAGAGTTGTAAGAGCCCCCAATAAAATGATTTAATATTTAAAAAACAAACGAGCACTCTCCATAGGCGTGGGGTGGGGTGCTCCGGAATGCCTGCTCTCCCCCTGCCCCCATTGCCTTGACCTTCACTGTTCCGGAGCTGCCCGCTAGGTGTCTCTCGCACCTGCCTGCAGGCCGAGGCGGGGAGCTCTCTGAAGGTTCCGTCGCTGCCGCCAGCAGTCAAGGCAACGGTGTCCCTGCCACCCACCCCCTCCAACTCCTGCTGCGCCGAGTTGCACGCGTGCAGCCGGCAGCACCGGGGACGCTGCAAAGGCTCCCCAGGGTCTGCATGTCACAGCTCGATGGCGATGCAAACGTGATGGCCGTCCCTTACCCTCCGCTCTGGGCAGCGGGATTCTTCTGCCCTCCCGCCCCTTCCTCCCTTTCCAAGACATCCTCAGGCCGTGCTCTCTGACGGGAAGCCCTGGAAACACCGCCTCGCATTTTAATTCGACATCCCTCCACCTGCTAAGCTGCAGTGTAGAGAAGGTACCTGAGTTGGCGCTGGCGATCCTGGCGGTGGAGGGCGTGCGTGAGTGCGTGTTGAGGCTGATTCAGGGGCGCATGCCCATCGGCAAAGAGAGGTTTATATTGAAAAACACACAAACAGAACAACCTCCTGAAGGTGCCCTCCGTTCCAGGGTCAATAGGAAAGACTAAAGACAGAGGCACAGTCTTCTCAGCACTGCAGCCTGGGCTCTGGGCTTCCCCCACTGCCTCGCCCACCATCCAGCTGGGGAGTGGGAGCAGCTGGGCTGGCCCTCTCTACAGGACGAGGTCCTTCCTTGATGGATCTGTGCAGACAGAAGGGCAGCCCCCGCCAGTCTCCATCTGGCAGTGGGTTCAGTCACATGGCAGGTTAACCTCCTGTGTCGATCTTAGATGCTTTCCTTTTGTCAACAAGCGACAGCAAAGTCACCGTGCCTTCTAAGTTTTCCTTTAGGCACTTGGACCAGCAAACAGCTCTGCGGGAGAAAGACTGGGCTTTCTACCCCCTTAAACAGTTAC